TTCCTATCTTAGGCAAAACCTCCAATTAAAATCAGCAGGGGGTTTGCTTGATTTAGGAACCCCAGCCTCTGCTCCCCAGCCAGGGGGTTCTGAAAGGGAGATGTGTACCTTTGAAAGCACTGATGGGAAGCCCTGGGTGGCGGAGACTGTCCTCAAAATGACTAGCGACTCCATGCTGTGTCACCAGGAGACCTGTCAGGTCGCCAGAAAATCCTGCCTGAGGCAAAGACAGAGCCTGCAGGGGGGCAGCCGAGGTGTTTCCATGGTCCACAGCCTCCTTCTCCTCCAGTCGGGAATCTAGAGGGGAGGAAATGCAGAGGACAGGCATTGAGGGAGTATTGGATTTGGACCCAGGAACCCTGAGCTTTGCTCTGCTACACGCATGCTGTGTGACCAAGGTGAGGCACAGTCTCTCTGTGGCCTTCAATGCCCTCATCGGTGGGATAAAAATCACAAGGGAATCCTATCTCATGGGGCTGATGTGAGGATAAAGTGGTAACTGCCATGATGTAGAAAACACTTAAGAAACAGCGATTTTTTTGACCTCAGCAACCATCTCTGTGTTCAGGCCTAAACATGAGGAAGATGAACATTTCTATGGTTTCTTCTTGAAGGTTCCCGGCTTCTATAATGGTCCAAACTGCTTCATTTGGAGCCAGCGTGGGTACCTGTCAATCAGGCTCCAGAGTTTTCCAGTTTAGAAATGAAAATGCAGCTCCCTTCTCTCTCCTCCTTCCTCCTTCCCTCCTTCCTCTCAGCCCCCTATCAGAATGAATTGAAATCCCATCCAACAGAAAGTTGCTGATTTGGATGTATTGCATCTCAGCTTTGGCTGCAGATGGAAGATGCTTTGGGTCCTTAGGGACAGAGAAAAGCACTTTAAAACCTGCTCCTCCCTGCCTCACACTGGATTTCAGCAGGGCTGTGTCAGCCTTTGTGAGACCCTCCCCTCTGGAGCAGCCTATTAAGCTGCTTCTCTGTTGCCAGGGTTGAGGCAGGCTGTCACCAAGTAGCCTGGGAAATGGTATTTATAGATTGCAGTCCCTCCTATCCCTGATCCCCAGCATCTCCCTATGCACTTGTCTGAAGCCCCAATTATCTGTGAGTGGAGGAGAGGGACCCTGGCAGGTCCAGAGGAAGCAAGGAATGTGAAAATAGGCCCTTGACAAGCTCAAACTTTCAGTATTTTTCCATTATTTTCATTTATTTCTCTTCTCTTCTCTTGCTTTCTTCTTATTGCTCACCTCATCGTTACAATTTTACATTATGGTACCTAAATGAAGTTGCACTGATGCCAGAGGTAGAGAGTTTGGTATTTGAATGTGGAGTACCTTTGTGATCTCAGACAAGTTCTCTCACTTCTCAATGGCTCCTTTTTCTTTGTCTGTAACATGGAGGTGGTTTCATGTGCTGTTCAGGAAGACAGTATGAAGAACCTCCAGCACTATGCCTGGTATACAGTGAGTACTCAATAGTTGTAGGTCACAGATGCTTTTGGCTGGCTTAGGGCGCTGCCTAGAATTGAACCTTGTAGAGTTTATGACTATCCATGACAACTAGTCAGAGAACTGGCTGGCGATGGAGAAGGCATAGGAGATTGATTTGATTGAGGCTTCTTCCTCATTATTGCAATTTGCTTGTATTCAAAAGAAACACACACACAAAATGAAATGAGCTTTTTTTTTTTTTGGTTCTAATCTCAGAATGAAATATTGAAAAGCAAAAGAAAGTTCATTGACTTTGGGGATCAGGACTCACTGGAAACAATTGTTTTCCCTCTCTGCCACTACTGTCCCCATAATTGGCCTCTCTAGAAAAGGAGGAGAATGAACAACTAGCCCGCCCACAAATGGCCCATCCAATGTCCATCTTCCCCAAATCTGTGCATTAACAGAGATGATGCCTTGCCTGCATCTCTTTGTTTCTGTCCCACCCACTCTAATTTCATTCCATCTCATCCTCTCTGCCCAGGGTCTCCTCCGTAGCCTCTGCCTGCTCATTTGCTCCATATTTCTCCATCTCCAACACCAAGTCCCTTTTCCGCTTATCACCCTTCCCCACTCTCCACCTTTCCCCTCTGTCTTCTTTCCTCTTCCCCTCGGCCTCGTGCTCCCTGCTCCCCGTGAACACCACCTGCTTTCCAAGTCCTCTTGCTGTATCATTAATGCGTTCTTTGATACAGCCCACAACCTCATGATTATTCTGAGGTCAGGAGATGCAGGTGCCACGCAGCTCGCGAATGTGTCTCAGAGGCCCTCTGTCCCCAATCCCTCCTGCCCGACAGGGCTGGAATCCTAATTTGCCACTAGCCCCGTTGCTTATTGCAGTATCACCAGGAACTTTCATCTTTTTATTTCCCTCACCGAGGATTCTGAGAATTCAGCCACAATGAAGCATTGATTCAAGGAGTGGGGGCTGTGGTTCTTACAAAGGGTCCCAATGATGAGACACGAGAAAGGGGGCGCTCTACGGGGTTAAAGAATGCCTTGCAGATGGGAAAGAGGAGCTCTAAATGGGGTACTGTCCTGTCACTTGGAGAGGGAGTGACAGGGGCAAGTGTGGGCCATGTGAAAGAGGCATTTTGAAATGACGCTGTAGTCAGATGGAACCACGCAATCAGGGCCGTGTGGAGGGCCCCTGTAGCTCACAGAAATATCAGATGACTCATATCCAATATTCAGTCAATGTTCTGGTTTGGGAGGTGGGAGCCACATAGCTCATCATTATTCCAGCTCCGTTTCCTGAAGGCTGGGCCTGCTGCTGTTCTCCAGGCTGTAATAGGATTGGTCTCACGAAGCAGAAACTGGGGAGGCCTGGAGCTGTGTGGGTGGATGGTATGGAAAACAAATACTGCAGTCCTAAGGGGAGAGGGAGAAGTTTGTTTTTCTTTTTTTAAATGAAAAAATAACGAGAAACATGTAAATATTCTGTATGCATTCATTCAGCAAACATAGATTCACTCAGCAGGCAGTTTAGAGAGCCAGGCTCTGGGCTAGGTGCTGGCAGAAGAAGGGATCTCCCCTCTCAAGCCTAAGAGCCTGGAGGGGAAACTGACAGGGAAACGAGCGGTTTCAATACAATATTTTGGGTGCTGTGAGGGAGGTTTTTATCGCCAGGGCTGGGTGGTTCTGTGGATTTAAAAAGGAGAGGGTTTCAAGGAGCCCACTAATTATTCCGCCATTTTCGTCCATCCGATAAGCAACTCAGTGAAAGCAAAGCATGCTGGGAAGCCATTTCAACAGTATCCATTTTCAAATGGCTATAACAAAATGGTTTTCCTCAAACTCCAGAGCGATAGTGAAATCCCCGAGAGCGTCTCAATACCTTCAGAGGAAGAGCTTATTCTCTGGGATAAGAGTACTTTTTATTATTACCTTTTTCATAATTGCTCTGTGCCAGGCTCTTTTAAGCCCTTTAAATATATTATCTCACTGAATCCTCTCACCAGCTGCATAGGATGGGCTTTAATATCCTCATTTTAGATAGTGGATACTGTGGCTTAAAGAGATGAAGTGACTTGATCCTGGTTATAGAATGCAGCTTTGAACTCAGCTCTTTTGGGCCAACACCTATGCTTTTCAACATTAGGCTTTACTGCCTAATTAGGCTCTTGGTGTTTGCAGTCTGGGGATTGCACCTCATCAGTGGAAGTGATAAAATAATCGATGGATTGTTAACGCTTCCTACCACAGAGAGCACAATGCAACTTAGCTTCTGTTTCTAGCTTTATAAAATGGAGATCAGGAACCACTGAGAGCATCATCATCATCATCATCACCACAGCACACGACAGTCTTAAGAAGGGTGCTCTTGACTCTCACTTGACAGACAATGCAAAAAGCCACAGCTATGAGCCAGGAGACTACTCTCTGATTGTTTGACTTTGAGTCCATCAGGTCATCTCTGAGCTTCCATTGCCATGTCTATAAAATATTGCTGAGGGTTCCTTTGCAGGAATAACAAGAGCTAACTTTTATTGAGCTCTTAATAACTACCCAGTTTGGGGCTAAGCCTTCACATAAAAATTTATATAATCTTCACATAGCACTGTGTGGTAGGCATGATTAGGAAGTTGAAGAAAACTGCCCAGTATTGCCTTAGCTTGCAGATGGAGAAGCCAAGAGATTTTCAGCTATCTCTGATGGACCTCAAGTCCCAGGGTATTTTTAGGGTGTTGCTGTGAGGCTCCAGTGAGAAAATGGGAGTGAATATACCCTGTGCAGGGTAAAAAGTGCTAGACACACGTAAGATATTATTGGTAGCATGGAAGACAGCCAAGAGGTGACTTGCACAGAAAAAAGGAAAGATGAGAGGCCTCTAAGCTGACTGCCTTGCATATTTGTTCCTCCTCTGATGCTGCTGCTTATCTGATGGAGTACCTGTCTTCATTAGAATGTTTCAGTGGATGAAATCTGGTGAGAAACTTTGGTATCATCATTTATAGTGTTGAAGGCCTGGGGAGGGAGCCCAGAGGTTGCAACAGAAATGCAACTGAATGGAGAGTTTGGAGCTCTGAAAAAATGCAGGGAAGTAACCCATTTCTAACATGTTCTGAAAAGCCACCGTGAGGATCATATAAGATCATCAACAGGGAAGCACTACATGATTTCTAGAGTATGATAAAATATAATTTGTTTTCGTTGAAGTTGTTAGATGCTATACACACTCATGGGAGTAATCTGTGTTTTAAGTTAAATCAAATAACCTCTAGGTCCTTTTTATTGCTGATTGTTTTTACAATATGTTGTCATCCAGAAGGCGTATTTGAGTCTAGACACTTTCATTTCCTGAATCGCACTTTTTTGGGACTAGTGTCTAATGGAATCACAGAGCTAGAAGGACCCCAAGAAACAGGTACACCAACCCCTTCGTTTTGTAGATGAGGACACTGAGCATTAGAAAGGTAAAGTACAATGTCATGCAGCTGGTTTGTGGCATTCCGAAGAGCTACAATGTAGTTCTTACCTTTATATTCGATGCCCTTCCTGTAAATGTCACTGCTCCATCCGGTCGTTTCATACTTTGGGCAGCTCTGGTTTGCATTATCAGTTAGATAACTGTAACTCACAGACCCACCCGTGGTGGTTAACCTTCTCCATTTTTCCTGTATCTCCCAGGACAATTCAGCAGTGGCTTGCAAGGGTCCAGTCGCTCCTCTACTGTAATGAGAACGGGTTTTGGGGAACCTTCCTGGAGAGCCAGCGGAGCTGCGTGTGCCACGGCAGCACCACGCTGTGCCAGCGCCCCATTCCCTGCGTGATCGGCGGGAACAACAGCTGCGCCATGTGCAGCCTGGCCAACATCTCCCTCTGCGGCTCCTGCAACAAGGGCTACAAGCTGTACCGAGGCCGCTGCGAACCGCAGAACGTGGACTCGGAGCGGAGCGAGCAGTTCATCAGCTTTGAGACCGACCTGGACTTCCAGGACCTGGAGCTGAAGTACCTGCTGCAGAAGATGGACTCGCGCCTCTACGTCCACACCACCTTCATCAGCAACGAGATCCGCCTCGACACCTTCTTTGACCCTCGGTGGCGCAAGCGCATGTCCCTCACTCTCAAGAGCAACAAGAACCGCATGGATTTCATCCACATGGTGATCGGTATGTCCATGCGCATCTGCCAGATGCGCAACAGCAGCCTGGACCCCATGTTCTTTGTCTATGTCAACCCCTTCAGCGGCAGCCATTCGGAGGGCTGGAACATGCCCTTCGGGGAATTTGGCTACCCACGCTGGGAGAAGATCCGTCTCCAAAACAGCCAGTGCTACAACTGGACTCTCTTGCTGGGCAATCGGTGGAAAACGTTTTTCGAGACGGTCCACATCTACCTACGTAGTCGGACTCGGCTACCTACCCTGCTGCGAAATGAGACCGGCCAGGGCCCCGTGGACCTGTCCGATCCCTCCAAGAGGCAGTTCTACATCAAGATCTCGGATGTGCAGGTGTTCGGGTACAGCCTGAGGTTCAACGCGGACCTCCTGCGCAGCGCGGTGCAGCAGGTCAACCAGTCCTACACACAGGGCGGCCAGTTCTATTCCTCTTCGTCGGTGATGCTCCTCTTGTTGGATATTCGGGACCGAATTAATCGCCTGGCCCCTCCTGTGGCCCCGGGGAAACCCCAGCTGGATTTGTTCTCCTGTATGCTGAAACACCGCCTGAAACTGACCAACAGCGAGATCATCAGGGTGAACCACGCCTTGGACCTGTATAACACGGAGATCCTCAAACAGTCGGACCGGATGACAGCCAAACTCTGCTAACCCGGGACTCCTTGCCATGGACTTTCCCTGTTGTGCAAACGCAACAGAACAAAATGAAGCAAAACAGAACAAAACAAAAAAACCCACAAAAATTTGTAAAATGTAATTAATATTCAAAGAAAAGGGGGAAAAATCTTCATTTGTTGGAAATGAAAATGTTCTAGCAACTGTATAAAACCGTTGGGCATGTTTGTTATTTCTATACTCTGTCATGAAGAAGGGTCTCAGCCTTTTATGGAGCTTTGAGGGAGTTGCTTCTTAGGCCTCAGGTGCTGTATGGAGGGGGGAGAAGGGAGAAAGCATATGCAATGAATTGTAAAGATCTCTGCTGTGCAGGTGCTAAGATTAAACACTAAAGAGAAAGAGAGATATATGTAATGTACAACTGACACTGCCATTTTTCCTTTTTGGAGGAAATGGACATAGATAAAGAAGATATTTCTTCGGTTAAGATTTCTTTCCTCTTTATGCTTAATTCCTTGTGTGTGTGTGTTTTTCTCTTTTGACTCTTCCTCACACAGGGGTGGAGATATAATGACAATGCTGTCTATCTTACCCATGTGGCTTCTTTTATTCTGAATACACTAAAACTAATGGAAGCTAGCTAGTAGGTGACATTAGGAGGGTGTATATTCACATGGTCACAGGACACTAAGTAATTTTGGATATCAGCTCATCGAACTCCTTAGTTTGAGAAATAGGCTCAGAGAGGGATGGCATGCCCATGATGAAACTAGAGTTACTACCTGAAAGAGAACTTGAACCTCCTTTCTGACTCCCCTGGCAAATACACCTTTTTCCAAATTACACTGGCCACTTTTGTATTTTCTCCTTCAAAATAGTTGCCAAGGGATGAAGAATTTTTTCAGTCTGAGGTTGTTTGTTTGAAGAGAGAGAGAATGAGTGAGTGAGTTTGAAAAAACTTCTCCCCCCACTCTCTAAAACAAATTGTTAAATTTCCCAGAAATTCTTTCTGTATTAAAGGTAAAGTTTTAGTTTAAATAAAATCAGATACCAAAAACCAGGGTAAATTTAGTATTGCATTGATTTGCCAGATAGACTTCCCCAAGAAGTCAGTCTCTCTCTCTCTCTCTCTCTCTCTCTCTCTCCTCTCTCTCTCTCCTCTCTCTCTACCCTCTCTCCTCTTTCCTCTCTCCTCTCTCTCTCTCTCTCCATATATATGTGTGTGTGTGTATGTATATGTACACACATACATAAACACACATACATCTATCTCCTTTGACAATACATATGCACATCTACCACCTACATCCACTCTCCTTCCCACACACAAAAATATAAACACTGCCACTTCCTTGACATGTGTGAAAGGTTGAGAGGCCTTATGAGCAACTTGGGGGTTAAATCAGGATGACAGACTAAGAAAGACAGCTCATTTGAAAGCAGTATGTAAAGGATTACTTCTTAGTCTCCATAAACTCTGAGACTAAGATGGTACTTGCAAGAGGTGCTTCCTGAGCATCTGGATCCTCATTTCTGCATTGGCAGAGAAATGCAGAATCACAAAATTTTAGGGTTGGAAGAGAAAATAGAACTACTGTGGTCTCAACTTCTTCCAGTGCAAATCTCTTCATCATTGGGAAATCACCACTGTTCACTGACTGGATCATACCAGGGACAGGGAGCTAATTAGCTCTATCTTCCACTTTCTTTGAATTATTAATATTATTTCATGGAAGAAGAGTAATAGCTCCCATTCCAGCTTGTGTTATAAACCAGATCTAATTGGAATATCCTTCCATATTTTGACCAGCTTTGCATACTCACCCACTGGGTCCAGTTCTGCAATGTGCATTTCCTTCTTATTTCCATTCTTACGTAATGTCCTCCTAGATAAAATACAAAGACCTATCTCAGAGGTTATTGAACTCAGTGTTAGCAGGACACAAAGTGAACACCATCCCTGGTGTAGTTTATTTTAGGGTGAAAGAAGGGGAGGGTTTCAATGCATAAAGGTAAAGAATTATCTACTTTGTCTAAGTGTGTCTGACTAGAATATTCTTTTTTTTCTTTTAGTATGGTAATTCCAACTTTATTTTAGCTTTTAGTATGAATTAGCATATGTTCTATACCAACTTTCACAGTATTCCATGCACTTTACACTAACATAGGTTTTTGGATCTCAGATTTTGAGAAGGTTCAGTGCTCATTTAGGCTGAAAACCCTTTATGCCAGAGGTCACATCACAGCTTATCCATCAAGCATGAAATTTGGCAGAAGGCCAATGATCAAACGTTTCCTAAACACCTAGCAGGTGAATGGGGCATGTCCAAAATATATAGCTCTGAAAGGAAATAATTCATGCTTTTGTGCCTGTCATAACCTAATGAAAAAGACAGACATATAAACCAATTTTTAAAAACAACAATAATTACAGTTTACCATAATCAGTGCTTTCATGCAGTCAGGCACACAGTGAGGAGCCCTAAGGAGATATTAACTCTGTTCATGGGATTGGGAAAGCCTTTATAGTAGGGACTTGTTCATTCTAAGTGTTGAAAAATGATCAGGAGTTGGGCAAGTAGAAAATAATAGAGTGACCAAAGGAACAGTGGATGCAAAAACAATTATAAATATGCAGTATGTATTTAAGGGTCAGTGCCAATCATGATTTTAAAAGGTGTTATTTAAAATGGTAAACCTAACAAAGGGAGGGAGGATTTTGACTTTATATGAGAAGTGGAAGCAATTATCCATAATCTTTATGATTTAAAGAATGAATTTAAGACTGATTGTTCCTCAGTTCCCTCTCTTTCTTTTCTCCTTCATCTATATCTTCCAGGCACTTCCAAAGACTCCTAATGTAATAAGCCCTTGCATTTACATAGCACTTTACAGATTGCTAAGCAATCTTCATATGCAGTGTGATGCCTAATCCTTATAACAATTCAATTAGGACCTTCAATCTGAGATATTTTCCAGACTTCAACCACTGCAAGGTGGGGAAAAGTCTTTCCTTCATCTTGAAAATATTAACTCAGTCACTTCATCTTACAGAAAGAATACAGCATTGTCTAACGACTAGAAAGGTCAGGGAAATAGAAAACTTTTCAAGGAGAGAGAAGGATCCAGACATCAAAATATTTATTCTATGGTGAGAAAAAAAATAATTTGCTATGAAAGGACAAAAAGTTGTGTGAGCTTCCAAATGTTTCCTGCTTGAGTCTGGCTCCCCTTTGAGCTAATAAGATTCCCCTCTAGCTAGAAGAGAAGCCTGAAGCCTCCAAGTGATATTTTAATTCAATTAGTGTCTTACCAATTTGATGCAGCAACCAAGGACCTATGGTGTCTAATTAATATGCTGATGCTAAGACACAAGAGTGAACAGAATGCCCATTTGGATAAGGCCTGGCAGCAAAGCGTGGCATTGCTATGGAAACCACAGACGGACATTAATTAGCTATCAAATAAAATCATTGGAAAATTCTGGACCCTGGCACATCTGCCCCCTTCAAAGAGAAGGGCAAGAATAGGTCACAGTAACAGCAAGGCTCCCTTCAGTGATTAAAATCAGAGTTACACAGAGACTACATGTTGGAAAGTGGAAGAAAGGTGGAGGAGCAAAACAGATGAACACAATAGGAATGAGGCTTTGGAATTATTCAAGTTCAAGGATATAATTTGCAATGTGGAGTATCTTGTTGGGTTGTCTGTATTGACAAAATGATCCAAATGACAAATATTTTAACCTATTCTCTGTGCTGTAGAAAGAAAATGATAATAATGATATTGATCCATCCACTAGATGGTGATAAATGATCAGGGGAGGAGACCATAGAGTGATTAACCCCTAATATAACAGATGCAGATCCTATAACATTTAAGTTAATAGAAAAAAAAATAATTGAAAAGAAGACAAAAAAGGAGAACAAAAGAATCATTAAAATAACTGAACATATACAAGCGGATACAATAATGAAACTTACCATACAGATAATCACAAAAAATGTAATTGGACAAAACTGGTCAGTAAAAGAACAGAGGTTTTCAGACTACAAGTTTTAAATTTAAAAGTAGATAAAGGTTGAAATTAAAGAATTGACAAAGATGTGCTAGACACATATTGACTAAAAGAAAGCTGATGAAGCACTGTTCATGGCAGTCAAGATAGACTTTTAGGAAAACTACTTTATTAGGGTTACAGAGTATTATTTTACCAAGAAAAAAATGGAGAAAAGACCGGACAGGTGGAATTATAGACTTCTAGGGCTAAAGAGGACTTTATGGATCTTTAAAATGTTAACTTTCACAGGGAGAGAATTATAAAAAAAGTTATTCTACAAGTTCGAACACTGACCATGAGTTCAGTCCTCTTTTTACTGTCTGGAAGTAAAAGGTTTTCTAGTCTAACCTAATTACTACAAAAATCAAGGCTCAACCCCATGACATTTATCCTAATGGGTTACCAAACACACTCTTTCTCTCCTTGTATCTGTATATCTATATAGATTTATATACACACACATACACACACATAAATATATGCTGCCAGACCATATACATATGGAAGAATTTATATGTATGTATATTTATATATAAACCTATAATCATATATATATAATTTATATATATAAATTCTTGTCATCAAAATTTTATACATAGACATTTTTCAGCTGAGGATCAACTAAATCTTTGGATGTTCATATAATCTTAGGCTGAGTGGAGGCCAATCTCTTCTTGAGAATTGCGTATCAGTGACTCCAGCCTTAGTAACACTAAAAACCTAAAAGGAGAAGGCTGCCTGAGTAAATTCTTGCCAATATTCCTTCTCTCTCTAAATCATTATCAGAACCTGCAGCGACAAGTGTAATGCCATTCCTTACTTTTCATTATTGGATCTAACTGTCAGCATTTGGAGTCTAGGCTCATGGCATAGTCTCTCACTACTTTGTCTTGGAACCCTCCTCCCCTCTCAGCAAACTCACAAATTGACAAGAATGCAAGGAATGCAATGTGATATATTTGAACCAATGAGTGGGAAATAACCTTACATTTATTATATAAACTTGTCACCTAGTCAATTTGGGAGCAATTACAAATCGCTTTCATTTTAATTAATTTGAGGAAAATTACAGATTTCTTTGAGATATCTGAAAGCTCTAGGCTCCTTCCCAATAAAAATGTACCTTCACTTACACTTTTGAATATTTCACAGATCCCTTAACAACTTTACTTGAACATTCTGGAATGCTACCAACCTTGGGTGAGTACCTTTGATCGAGTCTAAACCATGAGATTCCTTTCCTTTTCACTATTTCTGCATATGTTTTGAACTAGGATCATTTATCAAGCTTGCATCACACCCTCCTGCCCATCATAGAAGGCAGCCTTTATATAAAGTTAAATAGATAAGAATGGTAGTTATGGTCACTTTAATAACACCCTAAACATATCATAGAAACACATTAAGTGGATATATTATTTGTAAGTATTAA